CAGGATGCGGGAGGGGAGCGCGGGCGGCCGCGGCGCGGAGAACCGGACGGGCAGCGAGCCCCCGCTGCACCTTTTCCCCGCGCCCGTGCTCACCGGCATCACCGTCGCCTGTGTCCTCCTCTTCGTCATCGGGATCGTCGGCAACCTCATGACCATGCTGGTGGTGTCGCGGTTCCGGGACATGAGGACCACCACCAACTTCTACCTGTCCAGCATGGCCTTCTCCGACCTGCTCATCTTCCTCTGCATGCCCCTGGACCTCTTCCGCCTCTGGCAGTACCGGCCCTGGAACTTCGGGGACCTCCTCTGCAAGCTCTTCCAGTTCGTCAGCGAGAGCTGCACCTACTCCACCATCCTCAACATCACGGCCCTCAGCGTGGAGCGGTACGTCGCCATCTGTTTCCCCCTCCGAGCTAAAGTGATCATCACCAAGGGGAAGGTCAAGCTGGTCATCCTCTTCCTCTGGGCCATCTCCTTCATTAGCGCCGGACCCATCTTCGTCTTGGTGGGGGTCGAGCACGAGAACGGCACGAACCCTCTGAGCACCAACGAGTGCCGAGCCACGGAGTACGCCATCCGCTCGGGGCTCCTCACCATCATGGTCTGGACCTCCAGCATCTTCTTCTTCCTGCCCGTCTTTTGCCTGACCGTGCTGTACGGCCTCATCGGGAGGAAGCTCTGGAGGAGAAAGAGAAAGAACATCGGTCCAAACGCTGTTATCAGGGATAAGAACAACAGGCAAACTGTGAAAATGTTAGGTACGACTCTTCTTGCTCTGTTTTTCCAAAGGGGGTGTGTGCCTGTGTGTGTGTGAGAGAGAGAAAGACTGGGAGAGCTCTGGTAGTTCCCCACGGGTGCTTCCAAAGGAGAGCGTTTATTGAAAATGTTTTATACAAAGGGCTGCACCTCAAGGTATTTGTAGAATAACTCTCCTCCTTCCTTAGATTTATTTCTGACCGGTTTGAGCTGGGGACTCTCAAACAGTTAAGCAAATGTTAATAACAGTCACCGACAGGGACGAATACTGCAGTTACAATTAGCTAGCGCCCCGGGGATTTTTGAACGTTTTTGCTCTTTGGTTGTGGATACCGATGTTATTTACAGAAGGATAGTTTATGTGATTTTTAAACAAAACTAAACCCTTCTCAAACCACGAAGCTGAGCTGCAGGATATGATGTGCACTGAGTTTTTAGTTTCACATGAAAAGACTATCAGGGTTTTATCAAATTTCGGTTATTTACTAGGATGGCTGTGTAAGCTTATGAAAATCAGTCTGCATTTTTACATCGGCAAAACAGCAGCATGTGCTGAGCAGGGAGCATCGTGTCTCCTTTGAGGTCTGTGATCCTGCAAATTCTCAGTGACTTTAAGAAAATGGGATCGAGCCGATGGACACTGTCATCCCTAACTTGGTGTATTGCCATTGCTGAAGGGTTTAAACAACAGTTAGTGTGGGCAGATGGAAACACAGTTTTTAACTTACTAAGTCAGTGCATGTGGTGGGAGTTTGATGCACAGAACCAAAAAGTTGCTCTGCAGTTTAGCGTCTGAAAACTGCAGGATCCTGCTGCTGCTGCGTACTTTTATTCGAGCAGAAAGTCTTGCGCAGTGCAAGTCATCCCCTGGATCTCGGTGGGGGCGAGATGCTCTGCATGGAGAGGCTTTCACGGGCAGCAGCTCTGCTGTGCTCACTCCAGCCAGGGCGAAGCGATGGGCTGATGAGCTAGCCGAAGAGGTGGCAGCGTGCCCCAAGTACCTTAATCACTAAACAGGAGCCTAACTGAATTTTTTGTTCGCGTCCTGCTGTATTACTATGCAACAGCAGGGAGAAGAATAAAACCCGTGCTGTTCTTTGTGCGCTTTCAGCTACGTTTTATGATCAATAGAATTACTTCAGCCTGGTAAGCGTGACCTTGGAAGTAATTCATCATTTACACTTCTGGAGTTTCAGGATTATGAATCTCTCCTTACAATAAGTGAATTGCTAGTTTATATTACTACCATGTTTATATTTCTGTATACTTAACCACAAAGAATTTTGAAATAAGAACTGTTTATTCCTGCCCTGAAGTATAGCTGCAAGCATTACAACAATTCGGACACCTTTTTTTTTTTTTTTTTCTTTTACAAGGTCTGAGAACAGCAAAACAGTGGCAAGACTGTCCTCTGACAGAGGGCCAATAGCCTCTAACCGATAGCAGTCCCATCTCTGATGGAAAGACGGAAAGAAAAGAAGTTAGTAAGGGCTCAGTACCAGCAGCTGCTCAATGCAGTCTGGTCTCATTGGTTTTAATGTTCTGCTTAAAATTTAGAAGGCACTTTATAAGACTTTAGCAAGTCATGGCACATCAAGTAAATGGGATTAGCATCAAAACTTCTTCTAAATTGTAGAGAAAGGTTACGCTTCTAGGTCCGTAATTAAACACCTGAATGTACTGCCTGCCTGGCAAAGGAGCTATCCTACCCCCTTCCTATTGAAATCCCTGTTATTCTGCACGCACAAAGATCAAACTGTCGAAAGCCTGACTAGGGATCTGCATGCCTACATGTGAAAATATTGACTATGCTTAAAATTCTGTTTGTAATGACCATCGTGGTAATATTCATTCTGTGGATTAAACTCCAGAGCACACTTGTGAGCTAGGGAAACGTTATTTGAATTTTGTAGGTGAAGATACTGCGTAAAAAATGGAAGTGGCTGGCTCAAGAAGATGCAGAGCTGGAAAACATATACTCTGAATTTCAGCTCTGTGCTTCAGAGTCCGCCTAAGTCCTGCATAAGTGTCCATTTAACTTGGGAATGCTTGTTCAGAAAGTTTTTGGGGGAAGGTGCCGACAATCATCCCTCTTAGCTCTCTGAATTTTGTATCTCTCTCCTGTGGCCTGACACAAGCAAGCAGGACTGTTAACACAAGAGAACAGGTCAACTGGTAGAAAATGCTTAAGAATGTCAAAAAGCCTGGCTTGAGTTCCCTGGTTTTTCTCTCGCTGGTATATTCATAGATTCACTCAAAGCAATATGAAAAATAATAAAGGTCAAAAGCACACAGAAAATGAACAGAAAAAGTTTCCCTTTCTCTAGGATGGAAATTCAAATGGGCCAGTGTTCAAAGACACACATATTCCTATTGCTCTACATATATTATACTTACATATAAATGCAACCATAGCGATAGTGTAATATTACAGATATACCATGTAACTTTAACGGTGCAGTTACCTACTATATATTTAGTTTTACTATTCTTGGAGTAACTCATGTTCTGAAACATGGACAAACTGGAAGGGAGCACCACTCCCGTTCTTACCTTGTGCTCTGCAAGTCCGGATTCTGGTGGTTTGTTGTATTTTTGGACCTTCACCTTAAACAATTTTGCTTCCCAGTGGTTACATTCTTCATTATAGCACAGTGTTGAGTCTATCACATTATATATAATTTCCTTTTGTTAAACACTGTGGGTGACGCATTGTTATACTTTTTTGTCACCCTTCTGATTCTTAATTCTGTTTTTATAAAAGCATTTTTATAAAAATTTTATGAAAGCATGTTTTATAGTTCAGAAGTATGCTACCTCAGACTAGGCACGCAGTATACAGGCAGCCTGTTTAGATATGATCAGTATGCATTAAGTATTGCTAATTTATACTCCCAGAGAACGTACTGAGAGACACAAAACCAAAAACGTCTGGGATGCATTTTCACACTTTGTGATTGATTTTTTAAAGAAATAGAACTTTAAAATAGAATTTTAATCACCCGTGTTCTAATACTCATACTTAACACAATTTCTTCTGCTGTTTTTATTTTAGTTGTGGTGGTATTTGCTTTCATACTCTGCTGGTTGCCTTTTCACGTAGGACGCTATTTATTTTCCAAATCCTTTGAAGCTGGCTCCTTGGAGATAGCCGTGATCAGCCAGTACTGCAACCTGGTGTCCTTTGTCCTCTTCTACCTTAGCGCAGCCATCAACCCCATCCTCTACAACATCATGTCGAAGAAGTACCGCGTCGCCGCTTGCCGGCTCTTTGGACTCAAGCCCCTTCCAAAGAAAAGACTCTCCAGCACGAAGCAAGAAAGTTCGCGCGTTTGGACAGAGCCGAGCGTTATCACATGACACGTGATTTCCAGCGCCGGAGCATCGCTTACCAGTATTTCCCAGAAAGCCATAACGAGAGAGAAGGAGGGCGAGGAACGCAAATTGAAACGTTAAAGCCGGTCTTTCGTCGTCATCTGGATTTGCTGTAATGTAGGCAGTTAAAGATTTTAAAAAAACCCAAACCCTAAGCTTTGAGACTATAAAAGAAGGCACACTGTCACAGAATTTGGCAACACTCAAGTACTATTTTTCTGCTGCTTTTGCCCATACGATGTTTTAGCGCTGGCTTTAGCAGGAGAGCTAGGCTTTACCCTTCTCAACAGGCAAACATAGCCCAGTTCGCTTGAGAGTTTGTGTGACTTCAGTAGCAGCTAATTTGAGCTGAATTTTTCCAGAGTTAACTTTAGTTTTGCTAGCATATAACTAGACCCTAGAGAGAGAAAATTGAATTGCCTTTTTGGAGTAGTAAACATGGAATTTGATACAATTTTCATAATCTTAATTTTAAAATAAAGTAACATTTTTCTCTGAATGAGGAAAATGATTTCTTAAAAGGAAAAGGAGAAATAAAATGGATACTTTTTTAAAATGCTAAAAATAAATGACCTTCATGTCATGTCCTAGTAGAAAGGAAAGGAAAAAAATACCTTCGTGGAAGTGGCTTGGAACATGACTGTGCTGAAATATTTTTTTTTTTAAATATATATCAGTGGGACAAGGACAGTGCTGACTTCAGGACTGCAGTGATGCTATAAAAATATGGAATGCAATCTCCCACCAAAGTCTTTTTTTTTTTTTTTTTTACGAGCTAAATCACCTGTGCTTGTTCTGTTGAGCTTGACTGTGAACGACTCGATGTGTTTGAACTCGGAAGCTTTTAGCTGGTTTTGTGTTTGTAAGGACTCTGTGGCTACCTGTCCCTGTGCCGCACACCACCGTACCCCCGCGTCTGCGAAGGACAGATCTCCCGCCTGTAAAACACCCCCTGTTTCTGTTTAAAGCCCGTCAGCCGGTTACCGGTACCACGTCCCCCCACAGCCCGGTGTGCAGTCGTACTAGTTTGCTGCAGTGTTAAACTGAGAACATTTTTTAACCACCATGACCTGCCAAACTAATAGAAAAATCTGCATTAAAAGACACAGGCAGACACATTCTCATACTTGATCCATAAAAATCTTAAATTCAATTGATTTTTATAACTCAAGTGTGCCATTAAAAGGCAAACCAGAAAGCTTCCCATCCTTTATGCTAATAAGTATGTCTTATATCGCATCTGTTGTCACACCAACACGCAGATTTGCAGTCCAGCTAATAGAGCTTCGGAGCATGCATGTGCAATAGCAGCCTTCTATTTATTTTGTTTTAGTATTTATTACCAGCTGGTCCACGACTGATTCTCCATAATGAATTGTCTGTTAGCAAAAATCCTGCTGCCTTCAAACTCCTGTTAACGCTGATGGGCCATTTTCCGCCTGTTACACCTTTAGCTGACGGTGCTGCTCAGGTATAACCAAAAAGAGAATTTGGCCTCTTCTGTATATACTGTGTCTTTTATATCACCCAGTGCTTTGCTAGGGCCAGGGGCTGATTGCTGCTCCTCGGTGTGGCACCTAAGCCTGCCTTGCTCCCCGCTCCAGCGCTCGCAGCGAGCACAGGTTTGATGTAGGCAAACCTATGAATTAAGGGACACGCAGCGCTATCGGCTCCTCTCCCGTTTCGTCTCTAACCACGTCCGCCTCGTTACTCGCTTTGTTCTCTCGCTCGTTGTTGACTGACAAACGGATCTGATGGCAGATGTCATGCAACTCAGGGAAACAAGAAATTTGGGAATCTTGAAAAGATTGTGAAGGTGTGAGCTCACTAGTAACATGCCTGTGTAAATGAACCGATCGCACACCTAGCGCCACATAAGTGTTTCAAATCTCAGCTGTGTCTGTGGTATTAAATGTGAACGGAAAAAGAAATAAAGTGATGAGACCCTTTATAACCCTACCGGGTCCGTGGCGGTGGAGGATCTGGTATGATTGCATGGAGAAGCGGGTCCCCGCCGGCTTCGCTCGGCACTGCCACGCACCTCTCCTCGCCGCACAGGAGCCGGGCACGGCCGCGGGCGCTGCAGGACCGGCAGCAGGCAGGGCAGGCACCGCAGGCGCTGCAGGACTGGCAGCAGGCAGGGCAGGCAGGGCAGGCACCCCTCGGCGTCAGGACAGGGCGTGAAACGGGTACCAGTGTCACCCACGGCATGCGGGACTCCACGGGCTTGCTCCGTCCCCTGCGAGTAACACCTCTGTCTGCCATAGGAAGCGATTCTGCGTGGCCAGAATGGTCCCACGGAGGCCCTTACCTAGCTGAGAAGCAGCATCGCTGGGTTTTAATTTTTTTCCCAAACCTGTATAACTAACTTGATTAGGCTACTTTTTCTGTTTTTTGGGGTTTTTTTGTTTTTTTTTTAAACCAGAATAACTGTTAACATTAAAGCCCATTGAAGCCCTGTATAGACATTCAATTTCTGCATATAAACTATAAATCATAGAATGGTTAAGGTTGGAAAGGACCTGTGAGGTCATCGAGTCCAACCATTAACCTAGCTGCCTGGTTTGCCTCTAAACCATGTCCCTAAGCACCACGTCCACATGATTTTTGATCACTTCCAGGGACCCTGATTGCACCGCTTCCCTGGGCAGCCTGTCCCAACGCTTAACCACTCTCTCCGTGAAGAAATTTTTCCTAATATCCAATCTAACCCTGCCCTGGCGCAGCTTGAGGCCGTTCCCTCTCGTCCCATCGCTTGTTCCTGGGGAGAAGAGACCGGCCCCCCCCCCGGCTCCAGCCTCCTTTCAGGCAGTTGCAGAGAGCGATGAGGGCTCCCCTCAGCCTCCTCTTCTCCAGGCTGAGCACCCCCAGCTCCCATACAAACAATTTCATTTAACCTAACATTGCATCAGGAGAGTCTGCAAATTTTAACTATACCAACACCGTGAAATTGCCCCAACTTTGTGTATAGAACTGAATTTAAAACGTTAAATCTGGGTTCACAAAAGTCAGAAGGGGACTGGCTGCTCATTGCGAGGGAGGACAGGACGTCTTCCTTCCTTCTCACTTAGGAAACGGACTTGTTTCTGCACGCCACCAAACATGTAGCCAAATCTAGCAAAATACACGCATTTTTATTAAAGAGCAGCCACTTTCATGAGACTCTTGCACAAGCAGGAAAATATTTCAGATCTAGCAGGGAACGTTCAAGCATTGACCACGCGCTGCAGCTGTCACCCCTGCGGCTGGCACTATACCATCCATTAGCTTTGCTTCCCCCAGTACCAAAACTTTTCCATACAGAAATGCTGAAGTCAGCGGAGTCAGACTGGCATGCGTTGACTCCGGGTGGTGAAGAGGGTCTGCTTCTTCAAACAGGCACCAGTGCATAATGAACTGCTTTTATATGGAAAATAAGAAAAAAAATCACCTGGATAACCTTCATTTTTGCATCATAAAAATCAACTATTGTCAAATGCCTGCAGAAAGATATATGCCTCCCCACCAGCACTGGTGGGTGAACGTGGCATTGCTTGCCTCCAGGGTTATTGCCCAAGTTGTAAGAAATAACTTCATCGGAGGGGAAAAAAAAAGGGCAATCAAGATTTCAATAGCATTTTTTACCTAAGAACAGCTAACCGAAGTCCAAGACAGGTATTGTGAATTTGTCTTGGGTGGTAACGTGGGGCAAGGCTCCTCCTGCCTTGTCTCTACCAGGTTTTACCCAGGCAGAGCAGATGCTGGCGGTGGAGAGCGCGGTGGCAAAGGACCTGCCTTGGCAGAAGCAACGCTGGCGCTGGTTTAATCGTCTCTCTCACCCGCGGCAGCTGCTCCGTGCTGTACTGGCAAATACTTTCTAGCAGAGACAAAGCATTTCTCCTCTCTTTCCCAGGGCATTTCTGCACCACCTCATGTCCCCGGCGTCTTCTCCCCAAAGCCTTCCCTGTCTGAAGGAGCATGGGGGTCTCCCCCGCCCCATTTTGGGTCTGGACATGGCTTTTGAGATCTGTTTTACATGGAGGGAAGACAAGGGCCCTTGTGGGCGCTGGGCTGTTCATTAAGTGTGGCAGACAGGGTAGCTCCGCAGGAAGATTTCTTTCAGGCCGTTGAACCATAGACTGCATTTCTGGAAACTCCTCCCTGTAGGAACAAACTGGGCCAGATCTGACTGAAAAAAATGCATAGGGGCTTTACAAGTCAAAATTTTGCTGTATTCTCATTGACCTGTACATGAGCAGCCCATATAGGAAATAACTAGAGGTTCATTCATTAAACAGTTCAAGTTTTTAAAGGTTTTCTAACCTACATTTTGTACCACAGGTTCACAAATAAACAGGAACAATTTGGCTGCGTTTTATTTCTTGGCAACATGTTAAATTGGTGATGAAATAGGTCAAAAGCACTTTACCAGAAAGCTTCATTCATTTTAGAAATGTACCTTTGATGGAGGCATGCACAGGCAGAAAATCATGCCCTATTGTATTTCTTGCCAAAAAGAAAATATACTGGAAAAATAGCCCTTACATGTCAAGTTTTGAGTTGATAGATATTCAGCGTTTATGTAAGTTTGTGTCAAATGACATTTGCATAAGTCCTATTTAAAGCAGGAGCCGTTAGATACCTGGGTACCCAGGAGAGCCTCCTGGCCGGCACGGACCTGCTGCAGCGGGGTGCCGCAGCCGGCTCCCTCCTCCTCCGCCGCGGGGCCGCGGGAGGGCGGGCGGCCGCTGGTGCCGATGGTCCCTTCGCAGGTGGGAAGGCGGCTGCTCCCGCGGCGCTGGCTGAGGCATCCCCGCGCCCATCGGCACGGTTCCTTGTGGGGCTGGTCGCAGTCCTGCTGAGCCCCTCAGTCAGTGGCTTCTGATGGGCTTCCGTGCAGTGTGTACCGTTTACAAAACCCCTGTGGCCTTGAGGAAGTAAATTCTGGCTTGAGAAGTAAATTTGGTACAAAGAAAATCTACCGTACTCCTCATATCCCAGTGATGCCCATGTTTTCAACCTGCACGTACCCTAAACCACCCTCCTCACCCCCCCATCTGAAAGGCCTGGTGAGTAGATTTTACCCTCACAGCTTTTTATGAACAACATTAGGCCAATTTTACAAAAAGGGAATTAAAGCACTTGGCATTTTAACCCCTCGCTCAAACCACGCTGTCTGGGAGCGAGGGGGTGCGGATCCGATCCCCTC